TTATCAGCAGCCTGTCTGTAGTTTATGACTCTGTGTCTTAGAGCTGAATTCTCACTGCTGAACAATGCCTCCAGCCAGCGCCTGCTGGGGGAGTTATCATTTCACTGATACCATGTTTCTTAATTGAAGCCCCAGGCCTGGTGTATGTTATATTTTTAAAGGGGGAAAGAGGACAAGGTGATTTCCACATTGCAGGGGATGTAGCTGCATTGCCTAAGAGGTCTTGTGGGTGGTGTTTGTTTTAATAAGCAACTTATTATGTGCTGGGGGAAGAGGACACTGTGTGGGGGGGGATGGAGTGGGAAAGGGAAGTCCCCAGGGTGTTGCATAATAACACATTGGCACCTTGGAGATACTTCTGAATTTGTGGGCTTCTGGAGCGTGAATGAGAATGTCTGCATAAATTTGTCATCCACCATCACACTGGTGTTACTGGCCCAAGGAAAACAGCTCTTCTAAGTGGTTAGTGATGATGACAAGAGCAACTGAAGAAGGGAAGCAAAGGAGAAGAATAAGGAGAAGGAAAGGAAGAGGAGGAGGTAAAGAGGAGGAAGAGGAGAAGAGAAAGAGGAGGATGAGGAAGAGAAGGAGAGGAGGAGGAAAGAGGAGGAGAAGGAAAATAGGAGGAAAATGAAGGAGCCAAGAGAGGTGGGGGAGGAGGAGGAAGATAAGAAGGTAAGAAAATAAAACTAGAGGAAGGAAGGGAAGGAAGGAGAGAAGAAGAGAAAAGATGAGAGAATGGGAGGGAAAGATGAAGGAGGGAAGGAGGGAGGAACAAAGGAAGGAAGGAATTCCAATGGGGGAGCAGGGTAGTAGAGTAGAAAACACAGGGCTCTCTACTCCATCTGGGGATAGGATCACACCTTTGTGATCTGTGTGCCCTTGGGTCAGTTTGGACATCATATTAGGTCTCAGATCCAACATCTAGAAATAAGAGAACTCACATAGGCTCGAATTAAATGAAGTTGCATACCATAGAGCTACCACTCAGCATTAAGGCTCTCCATAAAGGGTAGGAATTGCTAATGCAATTCCTCCACCCTATACCAAATACATCTACATTGCCAGGAAAGGGGATAAACTTCACAGTATCTTACAACATTAACTTTCAGTTAGGATCTAAGTAATAACCAACTGAAACCACCTTCGGAACACTTGAGCAAAGTAAACAAAAATATATGTATTTGAAAATACTGGATAATTAATGGAGAACACTCTAGAAGGCCAGGAGAGCTGGCCCTTCCATGCTCTGAGGCCCAATTCTGGATTCAAGACCCAGCCCCAGGACTGGTCTTATAAAGAGATCCACAGTAGTTATGCCTTTCAGCTTTTTGTTTGTTTGGCAGTATTGGGGTTTGAACTCAAGGCCTCATGCTTGCAAGACAGGTGCTCTACCACTTAAGCCACTTCACCAGCCTATTTTTGTGTGTTGGGTATTTTGATGGGTCTCTCAAACTATTTGCCTGGGCTGGCTTCAAACTGTGATCCTCTGATCTCTGTTTCCTGAATAGTTAGGAATACAGGTGTGAGCCTCTGCTACTTGGCTTCACTTCAGCTTTGATACTAGATGCTATACCTGGTACTCTGGAAACTGTCATGAGTGTAGCCACTCACTCAATCCTCTTCAAAATGATCTCTGCATTCCCACATATTATCACCACTGGCTTCTGATGCCAGGTCTTGGGTTGGTGTGTCTGTTGGAGGCAAGGGGAAGTCCAGGCTTTGTGCCCACGCTCAAGCTATAGAGTGACTGGAAGAAGCTTGGATATTCAAGTGTTCTGATGAGGGTTAGGCTCTGCCTCATTATGAGAATGATTCCCTAAATCTTGGAAAGGAATTCAGATAGTGAGTACTCCAAAATATTGATAAGTATCTTCCACAGATAGGTCTTAGGACTTTTATGTTTTCTAGATGAGAAAGAAGACTTAGCCAACACCACACATCTAAGCCATGTTGTGAACCAAGTAAGTCTCACTCAAACCTGTTCTCTTGGCCACTGTCTTGACCACTGTCCTTAACATATGTAATGATGACAGCAATGTCTACCTTGGCAAAGCCTCCCACACTCCAGTCCCAGTTTTTGACTTATTAAATGCTGAGCCTGGCATTCACTGTCTATTCTTCAGTTATTCCTTTTATAAGAAACAAGTTTTCTAGACTCAGGCATGGAGTTTGCCCTTGGAGTTAGTGCCTAGGAGCTGTAATATCTGGATGAACTCTATTCTGCCTGGAATGCCTATGTCCAAGTGAGTGTCTATAGTGGAGATTTAAATAGCCAGTTGAAGAGCATAGTCGAGTTTTTTCCCCTAACACAAATCCCACTGGATATTCAGGGGTAAGAGAGAGCCTTCCCTGGACTACATCCATGCTACTTACAATTTTGTATTCCATTTTCATTAAATTGCTTCACAGTGATATGGTTCTCATTCACTCCCAGTGTTCTTCCAAACAGGACCAATCTTTTTGCAGGTAGCTTGCCATAGTAACTCAAATCAAACTTGACCACTGAACTCTCTATCCTTAGTTCACCACACCATGCCTCTGTCTGCTTTTTATTTTGCAAAAGCAGTGCATAAGAGTTGTCACAAGAATAAGATGTTATAAATGTGCTTGTTATATATGTAATAGATGTTTAGTAAGTACAATCATTAACAGCAGAATACTTAGAACCTTAGAGAATACAGGTCTGTAAAATGGACCTATGAAAGTCCAAGTCTTATCTTTCTGGTAACTCCCTCGGCTTCATCTCTTTCCTCATAAACTACAGTGAATACTGACAGCCACTGATCTAATCCAAAACAGTCATTTCAGCCAAAGTATAGAAGGGGAAGTGAGGCTCAAAGAGGAAAGGCAAGCTGGGGCTAAACTCATTGTCCTGTTCTATTTCCAGAAGATTCTCCCAGTTCTCACCCTGCATACTTAAAATTCAGTTCTTTTTCTAAGAAATGATGAACAATATCATGATTTTCACCTACTTCTGCACTAGACGCCAACAGTCAAGACTACTAAATAGTCCAAGTCTATGGGTCAGAGGTTGACATACTTTGTAAGGTACAGAGCCAGATAGTGAATATGTTAGATTCTTTGGCCATAGGCTTTTATGTTGCAAATTCTCAACTCTTGTGGCATGAAAGCATATAGACCCTATGTAAATGAACAGCTGTTGCTGTGTTTCCATAAAACTGTATTTACAAATATAGGCAGTAGGCTTGTTCTGGCTGGGGAGCATAGATAATAGACCCTTTCCGTGAACAATGAGCTGTAAGAATCTTTCTTGTTTTGTGCCTTGTTGGGTAGTTCTAAAGCAACATCGTACACTGATATCAGGGTTCAACCATCTCTTTTAGGGTAACCATATCCTACCTTCACTACATCCTACCTTCTTCCAGGAACCCTTAACTGCATGCCACATCCACATAAATAAAATAGGTAGACATTTTCCAATATGGTCTGGGAGTGATGCTGATCGCTACAAACATGACAGCAAAGGTGATGGTTTGGTCCAGTTATAGTCCAGGATCATGAGGAATTCAGCAACACACATTGGAAATCACCCAAAACAAAGAAACAATCTTCTGCAATTTAAAAATTCAAGACCTTGCTTGAAACTTTCTCTTGTCATTTCTTACTTTGCGTCTTCTTTTTATCCAACCACAAACATTTGCAGAGCACCTCTATTGCGTGTTCAGCCCTACTTGGTACAAGGGAGTTAGTAGGTGCTCAATAAATGCATGTTGGGAATGGAATAAAAGGCAAGTGACACTTGGTTACTGAGCTTAATCTACTGGGAGAATGAATGTCTAAACACGCTGTAATGCACAACAGATGCAAGGATGCAGTGACATCTCCTTCCCTTTAGTCTCCCTAGAAAATTGCCTTTCAGTGAGAAATCTTCCCACTAAGGTTTTTTCATCCCCTCTGTAGCAGCCCCTTTCCTTTTCAGATAGAGCACCTCTGTCTTTTGTACTTGCAAATGAATTGTGATTAGTTTTCACCTCCAGCCCAGGGGATTAGACAGGGGACCTTTGATCTTCAGGTATCGATTTGCATCTTAAAGGAAGTATGATCTCATCTGGGCCAGCTCAAAATTCCATCCCTGCCCCCACCCCCTGTCTGTTTACCAGCCCTGGGCTGGTCAGGGCCTCCCAAGTGGGGCTGAAACAACAAGATCAGCCAGACTTTGCTAGAAGGCTGAGGAAAACACATTTCCCATCTGACTTGGGAAAGGTGGGAAAAGGACGTTTGCTTTCTAAACACAGGCTGGTCTGCTATTTCTCTTTCTGCAGATCAGAGAGACTGCTTACAGCTCTAAGTCTGTAGTGAGGACACTGACATTTCCTGGATCTTGGCTAGAGACTGTGTAGCAAAATGGGCTGAGTATAAATTTAAGAATCAAACGAAATCAAGTTCAAGTCCTGGTTCTGTCTTTAATCACTTTTGGCCTGTGTGATTCTGGGCATGTTTCATAGTGTTCCTGGCTTTTGATTTTTCCCAACTCTAAAGAGTAACAGCCTTATATATGTATGGTAATAGCCATCCTGAAAATTTGTGCAAAGAAAAACAATGGTGTCTGTAAAGTCAAGAGCGACAAAACAAAGTCACCGGTCATCATAATCATGTATGAGAAACTAAGTTCTTTAGTATTGCTTTGATCCTTTGTTTTTCATTGGTTCATTTTCTAATGCTTGAAACAGTGTCTGAAACCCAATTCCAGGCTCTAGATCCAGCCCAGAACTGGTTTTGTGAAGAAACCCTCAGCTGCATGTCACTTCAGCTTTGGTGCTAGATGCTATTGCAGGTACTTTGCAAAATGTCATGAGTGTGGCCACTCCTTCCATCCTCATCAAAATGGTTTCTGCAGCGTTCCCATGTCTTACCACCATTGGCTTCTGATGGCAGCTATCAATAAGGATTTAATATAGAAGAGTGAATTATCACTCAGAAGGATTCTTGTTAAGTAATCGTTCAATCAGCCAGGCCCAGAGATATGGCAAACTCACCAATGCAATTGAAGGAAACTTCTTGTTGGCAGAAGAGAGAGCAGCCATCACCATTGATCTTATTCATGTCATCACATTCTTCACCTTGACCTCTGCACAATGGATATAGAAGAGAAATTTACCAGATCAGTTTCAGAACTGAGGCTGGACATGGAAAAGTCCCTTCACAGGCCATGAACCTTCCAGGAAACGTGTGCCAGTCTTTTTCCCTATCTAGATTTGTTTCTTTATCTTCAAAATGAGGTTCAAGTTGAGCATTGGTGGCTCACGTCTGTAATACTAGTTACTTCAGAGGCTGGGGTTGGAAGAATCATGGTTTGAGGCCAGCCCAGGCAAATTGTTTATGAGATCCCCATCTCCAATATATCCAGAGCAAAATGGACTGCAGGTGTGGCTCAAGCTGTATGTAGCACACCTGTTTTGCAAATGTGAAGCCCTGAGTTCAAACACCAGTCCCGCCAAAAAAAAAAAGAGGTTCATAAAAGGTGTAGATTTATTAAATATTTTTGCATTTGCCTTGTTTCTGATGCCGAAGTAGAATTTCTGTTTCAAAGTCATTTGAATTTTCCAGTCAATTAAATTAACAAGTCTGTTGGGAGTAAAAAAATGGATGAATAAATGAGCAAATGAATGAATAGATCTTTCTCCTGTTGTCTAGAAAAATCTCACTGCCCATTTTCATATTTCTGACTTTAAAAGGGTAGATTTGAAGGAAATTTTGGAGTTTCTACAATATAAATGCTATTCTTTTAGCTCTCTCTGCATTGACAGTCTCTCTGCTTCCCCAATACACTTAAAAGTAAAGATTGTTTTCACTCACATCCTCAGGTTAGTAATCTTTTCATTGGAAAGTTTTACTTTCCCCACTGGGTGTGTCATTTCATGGGGTCAAGAATTCAGAGGCTTGTGGGACTATGCTGTTCAGAAGCACAAATGCCCCTCTTGTTTTTCTTGGAATTATTTCCATCACCTAAGGATAATTTTGCAAGGTTGGGATGGGCAGAAAATGGGCATTGCTCATTTTGCTCATTTTCCAGATTGGGCTTCAGCAAGGAGAAGGCAGAACAAACCTGAAAGACTGGATGGATTGTTACTTTGTGGAATGTTCCCATTCTTTTAGAAACAGAAAACTTGAGTTTAGAACCCTATGTTCCAAATTTACTGTTCAATCTTGTATGAGTCCTTGCCCTCTCCCTCTGCTTTTTCTATCTGTATGATTTACGTATACAACTACTAAAAGTAAATATAATTGAAATTCCGTTCCTCATTCAGAGTAGCCTCATATCAAGGATTCAGTAGCCACATGTTGCTACTGTACTGGAGAATACCAAACATATTTCCATCATGTACAAAATATGTTACAGATGCTGAGTCTCATTTTCTTACATATTAAAATAGAGATAATTAGGCCTACCTCTTAGAATCAGATGAAAAAATGGAATATAACATAAAGTGACTATCACAGTGTGTAGTATCTAGTAGATGCTTGGGGGAATCACAGTTCCCATTCCCACTTTGCCTTGGGAGGTCCCTGCAGAGTGTGTGGCAGTTGTCTCTTCCTTTCCGGGGGCCACCTGGGACCTGTCACAGTATGGAAGATGCCTCAGACTTTTCCTTTAACCTGGCAATTAACACCAGGCAATGTTTGTTGTTTTTAGGAGGTGTCAGAGTAGCAGGAGAGTGCCTGGCAATCAATTCTGAAGATGGTTTAGGATACTGCATTGATTTCCAAAGAGCCACACAAGTTCTCTCCTGTCTGCAAACCCATGGGCAAAGAACTTCATATTCTTAGCTCAGTCCAGCAATCTCTGCCAGTGAATCTTGCAGGCTGAAAATTGCTGGTGACCTTATGCTTCTTAGATATTTCATGGGTTATCTGGGGAGAGACTCTTTTTTTCTTTTTTAAACCTGGGCTTGTTCCCTAAGCCACAAAGAATATTTCCAAGCTGCTTTCCATCACCACCCAAACAGTATGTTCTATTGGCTTAAGCAAAACATTAGGGTCACCACAAATATCTTCTAGGCATGACAGATCTATCATTGGATAGAGTGGTTCTGAGAAACCTTCTTTGACCTCTGAGGCTAGGGTGGGTGGCCATCATTCCCTGTGTTTGTAGACATCTTCCTTCATCTATCACAGAATTTGTCAAAGTGACTACCTTTGCCTCTTACTTGAGCCCTTATACTAGGCTGTTAGATGCTAAAGGGAGTAACTGTATTCTTCATCCCAGTACTTCAGTGTTGGGTACAGTGCCTTAGATGCAGCAGACAGCATGCAGCCACTTCTTTACCTGTTAGTTTTGTAGGGTTGTAATATTGCACAGCAACACAACGATAAATCCAGATGAGAACCTAGGCACTCAGTTAATATGCTGGCTTTACTCCCTTACTGAGTGTGTAAATGTGAGAAAACCACTTTAATCTCTTTGTGCATTAGTTGTTTTTTCTGTAAAGTATGATAATAGGACCTACCTAATATAGTTGTTGGGAGGACTCAAGGAGACAGTAATGTAGCACAGCATCTCATATGTGGCAAAGGCTCAAAAATGTTTATAAATACTGTTATTATCATAATACTCATCCAGTGCTTTCATCTTTACACTACATAGGAAACCTGATGCTGTGGATCATTTATAACGGAGTGCTTATCTATTAGAGGCCTCCTTGAATGCTGAGTCTATCTATATTTTTTTGTAAATTCCCTTATCTATAGCTAAGATGACACCCCTTCTTTTCCCTAACATTTGCCTTTCCTTCCTTCCTTTCTCCCTTCCTCTCTCCCTCACACCTTTCTTCCTTCCTCCCTCACACCCTCCTTTCTTTCCTTTTTTTTCTCTTAAAAGAACATCCATAAACTGCATTCAATTTTTTTGCAAAGTACATCAACAAATACTTGGTATTTGCAGGTGACTTTAACAAGTATTTGATATCTATGCAGAATATTGATTCCAGGTAAAAATACTAAAAAAACTTTGTTAAATTGTGAACACTACTTTAATAATGGTGATGATGATGATAGCTTTAGCTCAGTGAGAAGAATGATACTGTTTGCAGTATTTTAACAATGCATTTGTATCTGGCTCCAAAATGACAGAGTTGTAGAATAAGATTCCAGAACTGACAGGTTCTTCTTATTTTTATTTTTCCTTGTCAAATTCTTTGTGCCAAATTAGAAGACACCAAGTTACAATTATGGGTTTTCAGCAATAACTGCAAGTATTTTGTGGATAATCTGGGTATTTGGCTCAGCCTATGGCCCTTTCTCTTTGAGATTCCTATATTCTGTTCAATGTTCCAACAGGCTCAGCTTCACTAAGAGCTGGAAGCTGATGTCCCAATGTGGGAGAGAACTGTAGAAGGGATTCCCTATCCCAATTTTCTTGCATTGGAAACTCTATCTCCATCTACTATGCTGAATTTGGATGTAGATCTTAAATAGACAGAACATATTATGGGTTTCATTCTCAGACAAGTGAGGAACTTTACATTCTGTGTTCATGAAGCCAAATTCTTGGCAATCAGCTGATGTGAACCATAATTCATCACTTAAAAATTCTTACATTATCTCCTCAATATTAACATCTTGATATTCTGTTTTGATATTATACATGCAAGACATTCAGGACCCAAATATATAACCCTAGAGAGGCTGCTTCAGGAAGTCACTTCAAATTGGGCAAATAATTGCTCTGGCCTTATCAGTGCCAAATTAAAAATGTTAAAAATAAGACTTTTACCCATAACTCCTCTCTAAAAGGACATATAGTTATTATAAATTTATGTTTACTAAATAATTAGTCTCAACCTTAAAAATTTGGAGAAACCACAACTCTTATACACATCATAATATTAGAAGAACAAGAATGCTTTTGAATGCTGTAATCTGCATTTTGACCAGTGGGTATACAGTGGGCTTGGAAATGCTTCATTCAGACAGTGTGTGAACTGCATTTGTGTCAATAAATAAAATTGTCTTAATGTATTAAAGTGTCATTTTTTATTTCAAAAACTTGAATTACTATCTGTTTACTAATAGCTGATATACTTCAATGGAGAGCAGGAGCAGAATCTTGTACACACTATTATCTTTTTTGCATGTTAAGTGGAAAAGATGTAACTCACTAGTCCTCATTGGAACAATTGCAATGTTCACTGTTTCTTTCAGTGTTAGTTGTGACTAGAGAACATATTGTTGGCCAATTACTATATCTATGTGAATGGGTGTTCACATGTAAACTCTTTTTACTTGCAGAACTGTAACATCCTTACTCTATTCTTAGCTGTTCCCTAGTTCATCCCCAAACAGAGATTTCCAGTTTACATCATGTACCACATAATCGTCAGTTACAAATTAAATTGCTCTTCCACCCTAGCATTAGTGTTAGTGACAAGCAGAAAGAGATAGTCAGCAAGCACTTCCCTCATATATATACTATACCTGTAAGTTGATTCATGTTCTGCACATCAGTGACTTCATCCAACTGTGAGGAAAATGCTTGCTTTACACTACCCCTCCCCCACAGAAGAAGAAATTGCAATTTCATGTTACTCAGATATTATGTGACACCCAACAGTGCCATTTAATGAAGAAATTTTGCCAATAGCTTGTTTCACCATCCCCACACATAATGTTTATCATTAAATCTCTCAATAGTTTAAAAAATGTCTTAGTGGTAGTATGACTTCAAAATAGATCAAAAGCAATAAGGAACATAATTTTAGCAGTAAGAAAGTTAATTTTGAGTGATTGCTGCTTTTTTTTCTACCACTAAGGAAAAAAAAAATTCTCAATTTTGTACCAGAAAAGATTTTTGTACTTATTTTGAAGGAAAAGAACTAAAAAGTTTATCAAAACTCTTGATGGCTTCTTGTTCCTATTGGGCAGTTGGGTAACCTCTTGCCCTGAGGACTTAGGATGAATGGGTTGATAATCCTACCAGTCATTTCTTCAACATGCACTTTCATATTTTCTAAATGTAATTTCCTTTTGAGCTTAGATCTTTATACTCTCTGATTCATTTTCCTCATAACAGTCATATTCAGTCGATATTCACTCTGGTTTCCATTCATGGTTTCAACCTTACAGTATGTTAGAATGCTTTGTTGTTTTTCTGAGCCTTTGACCCATTGTCTAAACTGTTGATATGCAGTGTTAACAACCAGCAAAGAATGTCAGAGTGTTTTAACCCAAATGAACTATGTACTGTTAACAGAATGTGGGCTGTGACAGGAAAGACTAATAGAATCATTGTAGCCCATACAAAACAATTAAGAACAGGGGCATAATGGTAGTTAAGTGCATAATGGTAACATTATCTAAATCATATATTGTATTACATATTTGAGAAACATATGGGTTCAAAAGAAGAGTCATTGATTTTCTTCCCAGGCCACTAAATGCCTTGAAGACCAATTGATAGACTACTGGGGGTGATCGATACCTCATAGTTCATGCATTGAAGAGTATCTCATATGCTCTTCAAGCAGTCTGACTATCTCTTATTCTAGTTAGCATCCCATCCTTCTCTTTCCTTAGTTGGACCTACTTACTTCTGTATAATACCATCACCACAGTATCCACTTCCATGGATGTATTTGGCAGCAGGTGATGGCTCGCTTTCTTCAGTTCCTGAAATGGTGATAACCCGGTACAGGTACACACTGCCAAGCTTCAGATCCCTGGAAAATGCAAAAAAAAAAAAAAAAAACTATTGGCTATACAAATACAAAGTTGGGGCAGACAGGTAGAGAATGAAAAATTGATTCTTTTGAGTAAAGTTTTCTTCATTGTTTTTACCCTTTGGTTTTTTGTACCCAGGTTGGCCTTGAACTCAGAATCCTCCTGCCTCAGTCTCTTGAGTGCCACACCACCCCCAGCTTAGTTTTGTTCATTTATTTTAAATCAAATGCACATTAAGTTATTCTATGATTTTTAATGGCTCTTGTGGTTAAGGTACTCTGCTAAGCATAATAGATAACACTAAAATATGCACCAATAAAAACAAGAATCAATTGACTGATAACCATACAGAGTATTGGGGGCTTTTAACCTTTAACTTTTATGCCAAACCTGCTGGAGAAGTATCAGACAGCATCCATAAGAAAAGCATTTTGTAGAAAACAACCCAGGAAAAATAGAGTAAGAAAAAGCAAGAAGTGAAAAAGTACCACATCATATTCTCTGATCTTTGTCTCTCATTATAAGACCCACGCAGAAAGATCTTTACTTATGCTGCATATATAGTGATTTCTGTCTTCTTCACCACTTGCTCCTCCATGTGTCTCACTCTTAACTGAGATAATAACAATAGTACAAGTAATTGAATATTGGCCCTGAGCTATGCACTTTCCATGTATTTTCTCATTTGAGAATCAAAACAACCATACATGGAGACTTGTGTCTTTTTCTTTCTTTCTCTTTCTTTCTTCCTTCCTTCTTTCCTTCCTTCTTTTCTCTCTCTCTCTCTGTTTTTTGCTACTGGGGCTTAAATTCAGGGCCTTCACCTTGAGCCATGCCACCAACCCTATTTTTTTGTGAAAATGTTTTTCAAGGTAGGGTCTTGCAAACTATTTTCCCTGGCTGGCTTCAAACCATGATCCTCCTGATCTCTGCCTCCCAAGTAGCTAGGATTACAGGTGTGAGCCACGGGCACCCCTCAAGTACTAGTATTTTCATGATAATTTTATAGACTATGAATCTGAGGCGTAGCGAGGTTAAGCAGCTTGCTTAGAATCATATGCTAGTGAGTAATATCCTGCATTCTGCCTCCTTTGACCACTACTTTAGGTTTGTGGTAATAATCACATCCCTTGCAAATGGGGTCTAGTGCTGAATCGCAGATCCAAAGGCTGGTTACTGTCACACTTTCAACATGACAAAATTGAATCTCTCCTCTGACTTCAAAACCTCCGATGACCTGTCCTCATAAAGGAACCACCAAATGAACTTGGCTACTGCCAATTATCCCCAAAGCAAATGTATGTTTATGTCAATTCCACATGACCAAAAATCTACCCATTATATTTTTGATCATTTTCAAAGGTAGATGCTAGTTTTTATTATCATCTCCATCTGCATCAAATATTCATTTTTTTAATAATACAAAAGTATTGGGCTGGTGGAATGGCTCAAGTGGTAAGACTGCCTGCCTAATAAGCATGAAACCCTGAGTTCAAACCCCAGTGCTGCTTACCCCCTGCCAAAAGAAATTAATGACGGAAACTGGTTGTAGGATATATGACCCCTTTCCATACTACATTTACAGTTTTTCTGTAAATCTAAAACAGTTCTAACATTTTAAAAAGTTTATTTTAAAAAAATAACAAAAAGCCAAAGCAAATAAAAGATCATGTAAAACACATTAAGAATTATGACGTTGAATTTTAAAAAAAAGTATCACGGGAAAAGCACAAAAAGATAATGAAGATAATTCCTACCAGATTCCAGAGTGGAAGGAGGTAGATTTCATAAACAAAAAAACGATGTCAAAAAATCTCAAGTTCTCCTGCCCATCTGTTATTTCAGCTGCTGTTAGGGTTGGGCTGTTTGGGTAAGGCCAACAAGATAACAGGTGCAGGGGTATGAATACAAAATGTCTCTTGACTTTCAATGCAATGATGAGTTGGAGTTTAAGAGCAGTAAAGACTCGGGTGAAGAACACAAACTTGCTGAAATGTTGGATGTATTACTCACAAAGGGAGTTTGTTTTATCAGCACTGGCACAGCTACTGATACTGGGGGTAGACCAGAAGTCCCTAGAGATTCTGTTAGTGTTCTGTCAATGAAGATTAATCGGATGAATGCATAAAAATCTTGCTATGTTATCTATATATACAATGATTGCATTATAAATCTCTGGAATTCCAATTTGTTGATAGAGAAATGTATTTTATGATTTTTTTTTTTTAGCATATTGGCTATTTATTTTATCCACCGCTAGCTAATAAGGGTGTGCTTTTTCTGGTCATTCTTTTACATATGGAATGGGTGGGGAGAGAAAAGCAGCATTTTCAAGGGATGCATGAAGGCATAAGACAAATATGACATGCATTCTATTATACATTCATTTTGTTCTAAAATGTGAAAATATGCTTTATAGTATGTCATATTATGGAGTAAAATAAGAGATTTTCTTCAGTCTACTGAAAGCCTATGATGACGGTCTCAGCAGAGGTGCTTCTGTAGAAAAGCATACCAGTGTGAAAAGCACTTCGTCACATTGTTTTTCATTGCGGTGTCTGTCACAAATGATTTGTGGCTGAAATATTTAAGATAGTGGGCTAATCTCTGTGAATGTTTTCCTTCTCCCCTGTCCTTCCCTGCTCCTCTTTCTCTTCAGTAAATACCAGCTAACAGGTAAGCAAACATGTACAATTCCCTGTCTTCATCACTTTTACCCAGGAAGTCACAAGCAGGTGTTTTATCTCTCTGACCCTATTTCAAATTAATCACAAACCTGACTTCACAGAATATTCCTTCAGATTGAGAACATATATGAAGCACATATATTTCCTGCCTATGATAGTTCATAAATGTTGACCCATTATTATCAATGTTCTTATTCACTAGAGTTATGCTATGGTCTATTTAGTAAAAGAGAAGATGGCTACATTTAAAGCTGGTTGGTAAACTCATGAATATGGGTCCATTATCTTCCACGTGTGCTACAGCTTCATGGAAAATCACTTTTCTACCCATCATTTGGCTACAAAACTCTCAGTTCCAGAGAGCTTGCCCTCTTTCTAGGTGATCCATTCCAACTTTTGAATTCCAAGTTTGTCTCTCTACTTTGGGATAAATTTGTCTCTCAGTGACTTCCACCTTTTGTTGTCCTTTCTACTGGCAGTGCATACAGCATATGAAAATGTTAGAGAAACTTTAACAAGTTGTCCACCTATGTGTCTGGCTCATGCATCACTATATCATTGATGCCTGATATCATCTTTCAGAGGCAGGGGTTGATGTCTTAAGATCTTGGATAGCAAAATAGAAGCTTAAGTCACTCAGTAAAAAGGTAAGGAAGAGAGTGGACAGGGACTACTAAAATTTTCTACTAAAAGTTTTCTACTGAAAATTTTCTGTTATATAACTCATTTGGCTCTTTTCTTAAGAAATTAGTGAACTAGGTTTTCAGAAGCTGGTAGAGGTTAGAACCTATTTCATGGTTGGTCTAAAAGTAAGACATTATGTCATTGCTCCTTTCAGCTGCTCCTAAACCCACATGGAAAGCCTTGTGCTGTCACTTGGGTTCTTTCACCTCTTATATATCCCACATGCAATGGACCTAAATTTTCTCTGCCCAAAAGCTTCCACATCACCGTTTCTTCACCCTGAAGCCACAAGCATCTCAAACTTGACAGCTGAGGCAGCTGCAGGCTTGCTTCCTGAATCAAGCATCTCCTTTCCCCAGTCTTGCCAACCCCAGAAGAATTTCTTAGATTCAAAGGTTGCTCTCCAACAGTTAACCCAGTGACGGGAGCTTGCTACTAAGCTGAAACTTCTCATTTATTCCTTCTTTAGAACTAAAACTTTAGCATTTCATCTGAGATGTGATTATTTTGGCCACTTTTGATTTCTTTCATAGAATTTGGAATGCCATTTTATTTTAAAGAAACTTCAACCATCATAGTATTTACTTAATCATCAATTCTCAAACCATACCTAGATTAATCTTATGTTTCTAACTAATTAATTTATATATGATTGATTGTTTGGCTAGTGTTCAAACACAATAGTGTTTTGGGAATGCTTTGTATGCCTTTATTTAAAAAAATTTTCTAATATTTAGAAATCATTCTTTCACAAATGTCTAAAAATTACAAAAATTCTGGGCTGGGTGTTGTAGTGCATATCTGTAATCCCAGCTAGATGGTAGGGGGAGATGGAAAGACTGTGGTCTAAAGCTGGCCTGGGCAAAAGCATGAGACCCTATCTGAGAAAAACACCAAAAGCAAAAGGTCATGGATCAAATGGTAGAATGCTTAAAGCAAGCCAGAGACCCTGGTTCAAGCTACAGTACAAAAAACAAACACAAAATAAATTAAAATTCCTTGGGCTTTTCATTCATATGATTTCCTCAATATTTCTTCCTCAGAAATGTCATATTAATGGTAAATGTATGTCAAAATATGGAACAGCTCTAGTTATATGCTAAAACTTTAGTTTCATATTATGCATCTTTATGCATTTTTAAAAAATATATGAGGTGAGTCTGGAGTATGTCTCAAGCAGTAAAGTGACGCCTAGCAAGAAGTCCTGAGTTGAAACCTCAGTACTGACC